TCCCGTCGGCTCAAGACTAACGACTTCAGTGCGTCTCCCCTTTTAGCTCAAATATTTCTGAAATGCACACTGCTCTTTCACACATAGCCAGAGGGGCCAACGGGCCTCCCCAGCCTGTGCAGTCAGGGCCTCCTGATTGCTTTCTTCTGTGCAGTCTCCAGGAAGGGGGTGTGGGCGCAGTGGGGCCAGGGCCAAAGCCACTGCCATGGCTCGAACCCTGTTTTCCCACCGAGGAAGGCTCTCCGAGTAGCTGGCTGCAGGCCTTGGTTCCAGCTTCCTCCTGTATCTGTCCACCCAGCCTCAGTCTTCTCATCTATCCGTTGGGATTTTTTTAAATGGTCACTGAGCGGGGCGCCTGGGTGGCTCAGTCGGTTTGGTGTTTGACTTCGGCTCAGGTCATGATCTCACGGTTTGTGAGTTCGAGCCCCGTGTTGGGCTCTGTGCTGGCAGCTCGGAGCCCGGAGCCTGCTTCGGATTCTGTGTCTCCCTCTCTCTCTGCACCTCACCCATTCACGCTCTGTCTCTCTCTCAAAAATAAACAAACATCGGAAATTTAAAAAAAAAAAAAAAAAAAAAAAGGTCACTGAATGCATTCAGGGCTTGGAAAGCAGACATATCCATAGGAGTGCCTGGAGACGAGTGAAAGGACAGTGTTAGGCAGGGTGGGGAGAGGGTGGCACCTGAGAGGCTGGCAAGGACGTGGGCAGGGGATGTGGTCCAGCCAGGGGGCCTCAGAGAGCTGCTGACTGTTGCTGTCCACCCTTGATTCTCATTCATTCCCACCGACTATGCCATATTGCTCACCTCCTTTGCCTCTGCTAGCCCCTCCGTCTCCCATGCAACCCCTCCTGCCTCCCTTCTAACTCATTCTTCAAGCCTCCATCTAGAGTCACTTTCTCCAGGAAACCGTCCCGAAATTGAGCATTTTCTTCCTCTCCTTCCACATGCAGTCCCCTACCCACACTACCCCATGCACATCCCTGTTGCAATGTTTGTCACATTGTGTGGTGATTAATTATCTGTGTACAGCGAAAAACAGCCTCCCCTTGCATGAGGGATTGTCATTGTCACAGTGGGGATGGGCTGGGGACATTTCTAGCACTTTAGAGGCAGTTCGGTGCAGTCTCGCGGTCCCCAAAGTGTGGGAAGTGAAATGATGTTAGGTGGTTTGCAGATGAATGTTTTTAATTGTAATTGTCCTGTGTTTATTTTCCTTCTTTTTATGGCAAGTGATATTGGTTTCCCATTTATAATAATAACTTTTTCCTCTTTAAAATGCCCTTAAAAAAAAATGCCCTTAAAAAAAAAAGACTCATCTGGAAGAATAGTAACTAAGTAATAGTACATGTTATAGGTGGAAATGGCTGATGTCATGAATGTTGTTCTGATGGAGCAGAACGCTAGCCTGGGGGTGGGGTGTGATTTCAGTCTTTGGCTGTCGACCTACTATGTGCCAAGCCCTGTGCTGACTCTTGGGGACAGGCAAAGGTGTGGAGGGGGAGATGACTAGAAGGAACCACATGTTTGGGGTCTGGGGGGTGAGAGGACACCAGTCTATGCAGCTGGAGCACAGCTTGTGAACGAAAGATGTGTGACCTCGGGCAAGTTCCTAAGCTTTTGTAAGCCCCGATTTTCCCATCTGTGAGTGGGGCATTGTTGGCCATTTCCCAACTGTGTTGGCAATGTTGGAAGAACATTGGTGAGGGTCTCTGGCTCCTAACAGACAGGTAGGTCTCTGTCTCAGTAAATATGAGTTCTCTCCCTTTGCAGATTTTTGGATTAGAGGGAGAGACGTCTGAGGTGAAGGGAGAAGGAAGGGAGAGAAGGAAGGAAATGCTGGTGGTAGAAATAGGCCTGGCTTCCCAAACCCACCCAGGTTCCTGAGGCAGGAACTACTAACTCCAGATTCCCCGGGGAACTGAATGTGACTTTTGTGCTTGGTTTGAGAGGAACAAAGAGGAAACTCAGGGCATCCCAGGAAAGCAGCGTCAGACGAACCAGGAAGGGTTCCCCAGAGGCCGTGGTGCTGGAGCAAGAGGCTGATGTCTGTCAGATGTTGGCAAGCACCGTCTGGAGTGTGGGGGGAGCCTCTTGGACCCGCCTTCACTTTCAGGAGCCACCTCATGAGCCCAAAGGAAATGGCGTGTGTGCAGGCACTGGGTCAGCCAAAAAAGCACCACACTCAGTCTGAAAAAAGACTAACTGGCACTTACCGAGGCTCTGCTTTGTGTTAGACTCCAAGTTAACCCTCTCCTCTGTCCTTCAGTCCTCGGCTACTCTCAGAAGGTACTATGGCCATTTTCCAGGTATGGAAACTGAGGCTTACGAAAGTTACAGGTCCAAGGTAAGAAGGCAAATAGGAGACAGAGCAGGTGTTGGAATCGAAGTCCCTCTGACCTCCTGACCCTTAGTTTATCTGCTCTGCCTCCCTGCCTTTTGTGCAGAGGGCGGAGGGAGATGTCAACACTGGAAAGCAAGAGGCTGAGACGCTGCGGGGAGAGCCCCCGTGGGTCACCTCCTGCCATAGCCCCGAGGAGTAACAGCTTTCCCAGAGGCAGGCTTCCAGGTGAAGCCGGGACAGGCATGGAGAGATGAGAGCCCCTGCCTCCGTCCCAGGAGACCTGCAAACTTCACACTCCCTCTCAGCCCCTTCCTCTCTGTGAACCAACCAGCAAATTGACTGCTGGCCTTTTGGGATCCTTCCACCTCCCCCCCTGCTAGTTCTAGGTGTAGGGGGAGGCAGAGGGGAGCAGTAGAACACCCACCCCAGACTGAGCTCCCTGGGAGCCCGGAGTTTGAGCACCAGCCTGCAGTCTGTGACTTTCTGCAAGTCGTTTGCCCTCTCTGGGCCTGAGTTTCCACCCGTACAATGAGGATGTCAGCTCACAGCCCCTCCTCTGGGCTGTGGAATCCTCTAGTGCTTGGCCTCTGGGTCAGCCCAAGAATCCAGCCAAGGGGTGGGGCCACCTGCTTGGCAGGCGTGCCTCCCCCACCCGACCCCTTTCTAGTCCCAAGCAGAGTCTCCTCTCCCTTGTTCCGTGCGGCTCCCAGCAGCTGTTCCTCAGGCCCAGGCAGAGAGCCCGGCTTGGCGCGTCTCTGGCTGAGGCCGATGAGAGAAAACAGGTTAAAAGTTCAGCCCTTGTTCTCTCCAGGAAGAAAAATCTGTAGCATTCGGAGTGTGAAAAGGAACCCTTTTTTCAGCTCCAAAGCAGCACAATAGAACTTCCCTCCAATTTGCCATCAAAAAGACACCCTTGGCACTGGACTCCACCGTCCCTGGCACCCCTCCTCTCCCCTCACCAGCCCCCAGTGCAAAGGGACATAGTGGCCGCAGACATAAGCCACAGGCGGTCACGGGGACACTGCTGCATCCTCTGTTGTCAGCTCGTGGGTCTGAGTGGGGTCACCTCTGGCTGAATGCTTCCTCCCATCCACACCACCCCACCGTAGTTCAAGACCTTGTTCCTCCCATTTCGACCTTCACACCTTTGACCTGGGCAGTGTGCACCCTGCCCCAACTATCCTCACCCTAATTCATCCAGCCCAGGTTATCCAACTAAGTCTCTAGAAGTTTGTAGGGTCGGAGGCAGGAGATCTGCACCTCCCACTCTGCTACCAACTCCTTTGTGATTTTTATGAAGTCTCTTCCCCTCTCTGTGCCTCAGTTGCCCTATGTCCAAAATGAAGCAGTTGGCTGGGCCAGAGATAGCATCTCAAATGGCGGGTGTCAGCTTCGTGGCACACTGTGGTGGGAGCATCGTGCGGCCACAGAGTGTGGGCATTGATTAGTGATGTCTGCTTGGGCACGGAAGTGGAGCATAGAGGCCAGCGCACCTTACCTACTCCTGCAGAGCTAGGTGGTAAGGAAAGTCCAGCTGTGAGCTTCTAGGTCTCTGTGCCTACTCTCTCATGGCCATTATGTATACATGGCTCGTCACCACTACTAGACTGAACAACTCCATAGTAAGGTCTTGCTATTCACCGTTTTCTCTCCCAAGGTACCCACTGCCTGGCACAGAAGGGGCATCAGGATATATTTGTTGGATGAATGCTTGAAAGGGGCCAATTTAAATCTGCTCAGTGCCTTGCGGTTCAGCTCCAAAAGTGTCTTGAATTCCCTGTGGCAGGGAAGGGGGAGTGGGAAAGGGTCCTAAGCCTTATCTGGGGGTGAATAGGGCTCTTTCTGGCCCTCGGGGGTCTCCTTTGTCATAGGCTATGTGACTCCTTCCTTCCAGCTGCTGGAGAGAGGAGGGTGGGCGAGTGGGGCCCTGGCTGGTTCAGAAGCTGATTTGAGTTTCCTGAATCCCCAGAGGGCAGGTGATAGACTAGACTCACTTGGCACAGTGCTCACCCTCAACACCCCTCCACTCCTAGGGCCCTGTCCTAGGGGCACAGTTGACCGAGGCCTAGGGGAGGGAGCCCCAGTGTGGGGACACTCTAGAGGACTCTAGGTGCCTGAAGAAGGGGGAAGGTGTCCCTGATTGGAAGTGTGGGCCAGAGAGCCAAGGTAGGGTAACTAATGGGGCTCAGCTGGGACCAAAGAGAGACCTTTCTAAGGCCCACATTTCAGTTTTTGAGAATTTGATGCAAGCTGAAAAGCAGACACCCTAAGTTTTACATAAAATTTCAAGAGTTGCCTGGTGGACTCCCTGAAGCCCACCCAGGAGACTCCAGGTTAAGACCCTAATCCACCAGTAAGGGAGGGAAGTGGAAGTCGCTAGATTGGTGGGACATGATGGGCTCACAAAGGGCATGACCCTGCGTAGAGGGGCTGGAGCTGGTCTTTAAGGGGGTGGAGCCTGGAGGAGCAGCATCAGACGATTGGCTGGGGCATGGGAGTGGGTGGGATTATGGGGCAGGGCAGCCAGATGATTGATTGCCGCAAAGGAAGTGGGTGGAGCTCTGTAAAGAAGGCCCTTGAGGGGTGGGGGTCTTGGGGTGATTGACAGCACTCCGTAGGTGGGCGGCATTGACCCTTTGCTTTCCTCACAGAAACGCTGATGGACTCGACCACAGCGACGGCAGAGCTGGGCTGGATCGTGCATCCTCCATCAGGGGTGAGTCAGTGGTCCCCAAGCCCTGCCCAGTCCCTCAGAAGACCTGGGGTTTTGCTGCAGGGCCTGGATGCCCCCTAAATTCCATCCCCTTTCCCTCTTTCAGGGCCCAGGGCTTGCCTCTCATTGCCCCACCCTATTGGTCCCCTACTATTTGGAGTGCCAGTTACCATGACAACATGTTGGATGCTTTCAGCCTTTATCCCATGGCATCCTTGGGGCAAGGCTGAGAAGCAGGAATTCGCATTGCCCCCATTTTACAGATGAGGAAAGTGAACTGTCATTTTCTGAGCACCCACTTATCATATACTGTATCAAGGAAGCACGTTTACATACATCTTCTCCAATAATAAGGGGAGGAAACACCTCAATTTTACAGGTAAGGAAACTGAGGCTCAGAGAGGTGTAGCCGCCTGCCAGGGACTTTACACCTAGTTAGTGACGGGGCTCAGGTTTGTATCCAGGGCTGTGACCGAGCCTTCTGCGTACCCATAACACAAGGCTTCCCCCAAAATCTCTCTGACCACTTCCATGGCCCCCCTACTTTCCTGGGGCCAGTGGTTTGAGCCCATGTAGGCTGTGGGCCCCTCAAAAGCGAGAGCAGGCACAATCTGAGATTCCTCTTTCTTCCCACACCAGCCAGCCCAGCGCTTACATACAGGCTGTGGGGTCAGACATGCCTGAAATTCTGTCCCAGCTCTGCCACTCACCAGCCATGTGATTTGGGGCCAGTTCCTTAGCCTGCCTGAGCATCAGTTTCCTTATCTATAAAACGATGTTGGTCATGTCCTCTGCGCAGGATTGGTGTGAGGTTTTCCCGCACGGTGTCTTGCACGGTGCCCGGTGATAAGTAGCTACAGTAGTCCCACCATCACCATTGTCCTCGCCACCGGTTTTCATATCATTCCCTCCTCATTCCCCTGGGTCCCCACAGCCCATCTCTTCCCTCCCCACCATCCCAGCGCCTCCACTGGGACTTGGCCGCTGCCCCAAGGAGCTACATCCCCCCCACCCCCACCCCAGGCCTGTGTTCTCAATAGGCAGGGCCCTAGGGTCAGGCCTCTTTCTGTGGCTCTTTCTTGTCACCAATTTTCCATCTGCGAAGGCGGCTGGGCCCACAGCCCCACCCTATCAGTAATGAGGCCAGGCTGGGCTGCAGGGCCCCCGGACGCAATTATTTGGGGTGTTTAGGCTGCAGGGCCTCCGCATGTTAATTAGAGAGAGGGGAGAAAGGCAGAGTGCTCTAATTAAGTGCTCTAATTAAGTTCTGAAGAAGAGCAGTGGTTGTAACAAGGGGCTGACTTTGTCACATGGTGCCACCAAAAAAAAAAAAAAAAAAAAAAAAAAAAAAAAAGAAGCAATGTAGGGAGCTTCAGAGCCACCACTGACATAGAGGCTGGGCTAGCAGTCTCCGGCTCGGCCTTCCCCACGGGCATTGGCCTTTCACAACATCAGCCCTCCCCAGGCCACTGCACTGCCCCGCACAGATTTGGCCCAGATATCCGAGGGAGGCCAAAGGACAAGGAACACCGACTTCAGGGTGACACCTCTATACCACCACCTGCCTCCCCCTCCTCCACCCAGCTGGGGAAATCGAGGCCCAGCAAGGAGAAGTGACTTGCCCCAGGCCACACATCAAGTTAGCAGGGCAGGGGCAAAACCCAGGACTCCTGGGGTACTTGTGGGTCCTTGTGTTTCGAGGCTGTGTGCACAAGTGCAGGAATGGGCCTGGGTCTGTGTGGCTTGGGTCAGATGACCTCACTTCCCTGGTCTCTGCTCCCTCATCTGTAACATGGAGATAATAATATGCACCATGTGTGACCATAATGACAAAGAAATGAGGTCCTCTTACAGCACCCACCCCAGGCCGGCATGGCTAGGAGGGGGTGCTCTGCTGTTGGGGCTCTTTTGGGTCTACCCCAGGTAAAGGCAACCCAGTGCCAAAGAGGGGGGTGTATGGCTACTCTCAGTAAGCTTTCGGTCCCCCTGGGGAGACCAGGCCGAGAGGGCCAGGAGTACTCAGCCCCCGCCCAGACCAGGCCGGTTGTCCCCAAAGACCCAAGGGAGAGCCAATGAATGCAAACACCACAAGAGGTTCCAGAAGGATGGGCAGAGAAGATGAGAGGGTTCTCAAGGAGGGCACAAAAGTGTGAACAAAGGCTCAGCACGTGAGGGTTGGCCTGTGAGGGTGTGTGAGGAGACGTGTGCCCCGCACCCTTCATCCCCAGCTTTCCGTGGCCCTGCCCGGTGCCACCCAGCAGTGGGGCTCGGGAATCCCTTAGCTGGGTGTGCGAGAGCCAGGCTGGGGTCCAGGGAAGGTGCTGAAGCACATGCCGCAGGCAGGAAGGGAGTGAGTCTCCCTCCAGGTACCATCTTAACCACTTTAGGCCTCAGAACAGACCGCCCGTCTTCCCCATCACGGGGGTGAGAGCTCTTCTTCTGTCAGCCTGGGAATCCCCTAGGGTAAGGACCGTGTCTCCCAGATCGGAATAGGAGCTCCCAGTAGGCGGAAGTTCTGTCTCCCCCATCAGACTAGTACTCCCCAGGCACAAAGCTGTGTCTGCTCTCAGCAGAGGAATCCCCTCAGGCTGGGCCTCTCCCTAATTTTCCTTCCAGGTGGGAGCTTCCCAGGAGCGGGGGCCATGTCTCCTTTATTGCCCTGGAGTGAGGGTCACATCGCCCGTATAAATCAGGGGAAAACCAAGAGCAGCGTGTGTGCCCTTCCCATCAGACTGGCATGTCTCCCTCACAGTGTGGGGAATTCCTGGGGGCCAAGTCCATGTCTGCACCTCAGCTTGGGAGTTCTCTGATGGTACGACTCACGTCTCCATCATCAGACTAGAAGATGCCCGAGGTAGAGGCTGTGCCTCCCCTGTTAGACTAGGAGGCCCCCAGTGGCCAGAGTCCTATTTGCACCCAGCAGACTGAAGGGTTCCCTAAGGCAGGGTCTGTGTCTCGCCCATAGACAGACGATCCCTGGGGTTGAGCCCCATCTCCCCCACCTGACTAGCGTTTCACCCGCAGTGGGAAGAGGTGAGTGGCTACGATGAGAACATGAACACGATCCGCACGTACCAGGTGTGCAATGTGTTTGAGTCGAGCCAGAACAACTGGCTACGGACCAAGTTCATCCGGCGCCGTGGTGCCCACCGCATCCACGTGGAGATGAAGTTCTCCGTGCGTGACTGCAGCAGCATCCCCAGCGTGCCCGGCTCCTGCAAGGAGACCTTCAACCTCTATTACTATGAGGCCGACTTCGACTCGGCCACCAAGACCTTCCCCAACTGGATGGAGAATCCGTGGGTGAAGGTGGACACCATTGCGGCCGACGAGAGCTTCTCCCAGGTGGACCTGGGTGGCCGGGTCATGAAGATCAACACCGAGGTGCGGAGCTTCGGGCCGGTGTCCCGCAATGGCTTCTACCTGGCCTTCCAGGACTACGGTGGCTGCATGTCCCTTATTGCCGTGCGTGTCTTCTACCGCAAGTGCCCCCGCATCATCCAGAATGGCGCCGTCTTCCAGGAGACACTGTCGGGGGCCGAGAGCACATCGCTGGTGGCTGCCCGGGGCAGCTGTATCGCCAATGCCGAGGAGGTGGACGTGCCCATCAAGCTGTATTGTAACGGGGACGGCGAGTGGCTCGTACCCATCGGGCGCTGCATGTGCAAAGCCGGCTTCGAGGCCGTGGAGAACGGCACGGTCTGCAGAGGTAAGGACTGCCGCAGTGGGGCAGGTGCCCCTGCAAGCGCGTGGAGTTGGTATTGGCTGCGGACCTGGGCCTGGGGTCCCAGGCTGGCAAGGGCAGTGGCCTGGAGCCGACCGTGAGGCGCTCTTTGGCCGGGTTTCCAAACGTGCAGCCACTGTTCGGTGTCTTGGAGGGAGACATTTGAAGAGCGCTTCTTGAATGGCAAGAGTGTGCAAGGTGCTTTTCGTTGGTGCCAGGATAGACGTTTCTCGTTTTAATTATTACATGACTATTAACAGTGGCAAGTGGTGCTGTATGTCTCCATCTGCGAAAGTGATGTGGTTTCCTTTTTGCGGAAATAAGTCACAGTAAGTAACAGTTGTAAGTTCAGACTTACTGGACTTTGGCTGGATCGGTCAGTAGAGGCCAGGTTAGATTGAAGTGACCAAACAGTAGATGTTTATTTCTTGCCCAGTGCTACCTGTCTCTCGTGGGTCGGTTCCAGGATTCCTCCCTCTGGGAGCCATACTGGATGGAGGAGCCCCCATTTGCAATGTTGTGATCACGAGGACGGAAGGAAGTGGTGTGAGCTGGGTTGTGTGCCGGCTCTAGAGTTCTGCCTCAATGGCTGTGCACACTCCTCTGGACACTTCAGTGGCCAAGGCAAGTCACGCGCTTACTTCCGATCCTCGCAGGTGGGAAGGTGAGCCAGCCTCCTGACCACCACTTCTACTGTGGGCCAAGCACCTTCTAGGTCTAACTCCTTTAATGCTCACAAGAGCCCTGTGAGAGAAAGTGCCATTTATATGAAGACATCGAGGCTCAGAGAGTGAGTGGGGGAGCCAGGAGTCTTACCCAGGCAGTGTGATTCCAAGCCCACCCTTAGCCACTGTGCCACTTTGGTTAACTTAAGGAAACGTTCTAAGTCAGTAGTGGTACGGGTGGTGTTTATTATGGTGAAGAATCGTGGAGGTGGTTTGCAAACCTAAGAAGTTTGTAAGAGGCGATGCACGGTGGTAGAAGGCTGTGAAGGTAGACGGACCTGCATTCGAATACCACCCCTGTTATGAGCTGTCTGTCCTATGCTGAGTATGAAACCCTCTTTCATAGGGTACTTCCGAAGACTCAACAAGTCAAGACTGTAAAGCATCTATAATGACTTGCAGTATACAGTAGGAGCTTAATAAATGTTGACTAAACGAGACGTGTACAAAGCCCGACCTGGTGCAGGTACTCTACAATGTGAGCTGTGATGGTGATTTAAAGCCCTATTTGATTTAAAGCCCAATCGGGTCCCGGGGTCCCCCATGTGCCAGGCAAAGAGTCTGGACCCTATTCCAGGGTCCCTGAAGCACCGGTGAAAGTGTGGCCTGAGGTAGCTGCAGTGACCCTCCCCTTTATAAAATGCTGTCACATCCGCTGTCCCTGTTCCTACCCTCCATGCTCTGAAGCAGCATTTTAAAGGTGCCTGGGAGGGCACGTGGGGTGCAAGAGACAGCAGCAGGAGCCTGTGGGGAAGCAGCAGCCGTGTTCGCAAGAGGTGGTGGCTCTCTGGAGTGGGCATCCACTGTGCAGGGAAGGAGCCAGGCTAGAATGAAGGGGTGTGAGGAGGGTGAGTGAGAAGGATGGCATGTGCAGGAAAGGAGGAAACAGTGAAGTCCGGCTTGCAGGGAGGTGACGGTCCTGGAAAAGGACATTTGGGGAAAAAAGCTGGTTTCTGGGGGAAGATAACAGATCAACTCACTATACTTGAGTGTTGAAAGTGCACAGCCTCAGGAGGTGGCGGGCCATGTGGGCCCAGGGCAGAATCAGTCACTCCTCGCTCATTGTTTATTCACTCATCAAACCTCGCCCGCGCCTGCTCTGTGTCAAGGCTTTGTGCTGAGCGTCGGGTGAGACAGACAAGAATGCGGCTGTGGCCCTGCCGTCTAGGAGCTCACGGTGTAGCAGGGGACGCAGACTGTAAATGAACAAGGGAGGGCATGCCTTTGACTTTGATTGGAACCACTTGGGTTGCAGTGGGCACAGAAAGAGAAGGGCTTCCCAGAGGAGGTGACATCGGAGCTGAGTCTTGGGAGAGGCATATGTTGACTGGGTGGCCCGGGCCTTCTGGAGGATGGATCTACAAGGATCTGGGGACATGAAGCACCACGGGTTAGGGGGGACTGATACAGCATCTGACCTGGCTGTGGCTGGGGTTCGGGGAGGGACAGAGGAAGAACTGTCACCAGAAGGTGCCCAGATGAAAAGGTGCACTAGTCACCCATTGCTGCATAACAAGTCGCCCCAGAACGTCACAGCTGAAAACAAAAGCATTTGTTTTTCTCAGTTTCTTAAGCTCAGGGATCCAGGTATGGCTTCGGGGGGCTTCCTCTGGTGCAAGGCCTCTCCTGGGACTGCAGCT